ATCCACTTTTACGGACTCCATAAACATTAGTCAATAACGTGAGATCGTTGCCTAAAACTTGTCAAATACCGTATTGTATAAGGTTTCCTTAGTATAAAATTGAAACAATAAGTGATCTACATTTAAGGTGGTATTCACGGCTGTGAATTCAGTTCCCAGAAGCAGTGCGGTTATGTTACAGTTTCGTTAGCCGCTCAACTAATTGGGGTAGTATATTTGAAACGTTGGTAAATTTTATATAAACGTAAGGTTTGAAAGTTGACCTATTTGATTGTCGAAATTATTAGTTTTCACTCATTGCGGCGTTATCGATTTAAAAAAATACTAGAAAACCAGTAAACCCAATGTTCACCAAAAAAAAAAATTATTTAATTAATTGATAACTTCGGAGATTTTGTGTGGTTTCGTTTGAAATAGAAATCACGTGATTTCTCGAAAACCGGAAGTGCTACGTTACTCAAATCCGGTTTGTAGTCTTATCAGACTATTCTTAACTTATAACTTAAACATTCTCTATCTCTTACGGTTTGGCCGCTGAAACAGCACCACGGACGGACGGACGGACGGACTTGTCTAATAGATAAGAGATGACAATCATTATAGCTATTAACGGGAATGTTACCATGTACCTTGTTTTTTATGAGTCACCGTCAGTTTTATGAGTGAGTATTGTGTGTCGGGAACAAGTGCGAGTGAATAGTGAGAATGGGACTAGTGCTAGGGATATCGAACACAATAAAGGACGACGTCAGAGGGTACACCGATATGTAGGCCAATAACGTCTACCCGCAATTACTTCAGTTACTCCGTGATCATGGCGCTTGCAACAGTGCCGAGATATCGGAGACTCATAAAAACAAGGCACATGGAAACAATCTCGTTAATAGCTATAATGTTAGTGACCATGAAAGTTTAAAACGATATATCAATCATTTACAAAGCATTACTTTCTTAGTAAATGACTTTCTGTATATTATTATCAACCTATTAATGTCCTCATTGCTGGGGCACTGGCATTCCCTATGGATGGAATAAGGAACCATGACTCACCACGCGGGCCCAGTGCGGATTTGTGGGTGTTAACGATTGTAGATGCAGCTGGAACTAGCGACTAAACTGGCCTTCCGAAGCATGGTGAAGCTCGAGATAGTAAAGTTTCGGTCACCCATCCAATGACCGACCACTGCGACAACTTCAACGATCAACGATCGCAGCCAATCGCGCTAAGTACTAGCGCCATCGTGCTCCAAATTCTTCTTTATATAGCCACAATATATAATTTACAGTATTAAAAGACCTGTACAGGTCTCCGTCAATAACTTAGCTAAGCAATATAGCAGCCGAATAAATAGGATTCCGTAATTATAATTCAAAATCAACTATAAGTAGGTATGTTTTTATTTATTTTTAAGCATTTAACTGCTAGATGTTTGAATCTAAAGAAAAGTTTACTAGAAAAAAATTGTGGATTACATACAATGCGAAGAGATGGCGCTGCCCTGCAGCATAAGGCTAGGAAAATTTCGACGCGGCGAATAGGGCCGTGGTAACATAATGGTTAGTGCATTCGCTCGGATAGCGAAGGGAATTTTTCTGGTAAACTTTTCTTTAGATATAAGTAGGTATGACATTTTTTTTAAATAAAACTAGTTTTTTACGGGTTAATGAAACGTCAATAAATAAATAAAGTTTCGTGCACTTTTAAAAAACTAGTTTTATTTAATGAGTGATGTGCGTGAAAACCTAAAAAACAAATACGAAAATTTTAATCCAGATCCAGGTGTTAGGCTCATTGAGACCTGGGAGGGCAATCGACTAACGGGATTGCTATTTCTTACGCTTACGATTTCATTTTGTTATTTCTAACCGCTAGAGGTTTGCAAAAACTATAAAAAAATATCAGATTTATAAATCAAGTAGTTTAATGCTTATATAGATAACAGACAAATTGCCGTTCAACTAATAAACAAGTTGGTATGCACGCACAGTTAAGTTTGCTGAAATAATGATTTACCGGATAGCCCCAATTATCAAGTTCGGGCCGACCCGGAATTTCCGGTCTCATCTACCCGGGCCTACCCGGGTACACCCGGGTATTAACAAAACGATTAAGTTGGTCTGCGAGCGCTAATCGAAGTTTCAGATAACTGATTGCGAGTGTACATTCTCAATCCGTTATTTGAAACCTCTATTCGAGATGTTATTAATTACACGTCAATACACGTCAATGCCACGTGCATATTTCAGAATAGAATTGTTAATTATTACTCTTAGTAATAATAAACTACTTTATGACACTAGCCACCAACTTTCTTAATATATTGAACTAGTGACCCGCCCTCGCTTCGCTTCGGTGTAGAGCTGAAGTGTAGACTATAGTATTGTTCTCAGGCTTGTATTATACACAATGACATTCTACTTATACCTAACTAGTGGCCCGCCCTCGCTTCGCTTCGGGGTAGAATTAATCAAAATCCTTTCTTAGCGGATGCCTACGTCATAACATCTACCTGGATGCCAAATTTCAGCCCGATTCGTCCAGTGGTTTGGGCTGTACGTTGATAGATCACTTTGTGAGTCAGTCACCTGTTTTAAATATATAGACTAACGTTTGCCCGCGACTTATTCCGCGTAGACTTAATGATTCTGGTAGCAAATTTTTGCCATATCTGCTTTAACATCAATCTGCTTACTATTTAAAAAATATAAAGTTAGTGGTTTTATAGTATTTGAAAACGTAAACAACATTCAAATTTGGGGTAATTTTAAATTAAAAAACCTGGCGTTCCCTGCGCAATGCAATGAGTGAAATTTAAGATCAATTTATTTTGTAAAAATATACATAAATCCTGACGTGGCTCAGACGGAGAAAACAGAAAAACTTACAACAGTATTATGAAAAACCTAAAATGATCGTCTAAGATAGAAGTACTATAACCGGTAAAAAGATTTCTTAATGATCTGATAGCTTTAGGAGGTTTGTCAGTATTAGTATTAATAATTACTGTGATTCATTAATAGATGAACAAAAAGCATACATTTCAGGATCCGGCAAAACTGTTGAATTTCGTTTAATTTTGGCAAAAATGAGGATCGAAAACTTACAACATACTTTTCCAGGCCCAAGGGGCACGTGCCGATGAGATATAAGCGTGACCTTAATGGCCCTTAGTAAAAAAAATCTCTGTGCATTACAGTAAAAGTAAAAGGTCTCATGACGACCAATTAGCGAATATAAATGTTAAAGTCCTTTGAAAGACAGAATCACTGTGGTAAACACTGACGATGCTGTAAAGAAAGAAGGAAGGAAAAACATTTATTGACGACATACATTAACAATTACAATAAATACACAACAAACATAAAACAAAAGGTACATCGTCAACTAGGCCCCACCTCAGCATAATGTTGCAACGGCAAAAATGGATTGCCGCTGCAACGCTGATACTCTGGAGGGACCTAATTTGGACATCAACGGACCGAAACGCAAGACAATCACTTAATACACAAAACAAAAACAAAAAACAATCTGGACCTCGCATCCCTCGCCCATAGCAGTCCAGCACAAAACAAAAAAATAACACAAGAGGCTGTGTGGGCTCGGCTATTTGCCTACGAAAACTGCAGTAGATAAATCATTCAGTAGAGTTCTTAAACACTTTGAATATAACGTAACTGGTATTCTATAACACAAACTATTACCAATTTTTGATACGCTTATCACGTTGCTGTTTACCTCAAATTAAACTTTGTTGTGAATTTGTTATTGCAAGTCAGATACCTTGTCCAACTTTAGAATCAACTATTCCCAAATTTAGTCTCTAGACCTAGCGGTTTGGGTTCTGCCTTGATATATGTCAGTCGGTCAGTAAATCAGTCAGCTAATTCTATCCATCTCTATTTGAAATTTAACAATGCACTTGAGAAACAATTAAAAGTAGATAGTTCAAAGTCGATAGTTTTTTTTAATTTCGATTCAGTACGGATATACAAAGTTACAGTTATTACATGATGATTTGGTTAATAAAATATTACACCTCGCTTATTTTGCGTGCGCTCTTTCAAGGACCACGTGATCGTATCCGACAGAGCCCGCGTTCGGCCACCGCAATTGACAGACACGTATAAGTAATAAAAAATATGTAAATAATGTTCTATTAATGATTGTCATATCTTTTCCAATCGATAACTTCGCATAGATATAGAAAACTAATAACTTTGTCAATCAAATAGGTCACCCACTGTTCGTTCATATAAAAAATATGGATTACCAACGTTCCGAAGTCACTACCTCAATTAGTTGAGCGGCTAACCAAATTGAAATATGACCACACGTCAATACTAACCAGTGGATATAATAACAAATTGGCTCCTTCCTTCAACCTTCAATACAAAAATTTGACAATGACAATACGATTACGGAGCTGCCAAAACTCGTGCTGGGGCCTCTGTACACCATAAGTGGATTAACGAAAAAGTAGCGTGTGGCTATTATTACGTATCTTTAAAAATGTATTGTGCAGTGTACAGTAATATTTAAGCAAAATTGAAATGACATATTTTACTTTTTAATTTTTATTTTTTAAGCACGGAACTGCTTGATGCTTAAATCTAAAGAAAATATAACTAAAAATATTGCATGCGGACCGTCTTTCTTCTTTCAAATATTAAATACTTGTAAAAGTATTCATTTGACATTGTGGGTTACCTACAATGCGAAGAGATGGCGCTGCCGATTAAGAATGGCTAAATGAATTTCGACGCGGCCGTCAGGGCCACGGTAGCATAGTTAGTCAGGATGTATTTTAAGTTGAAAGTTCTACAATTAAAAAGTAAATTAAAATAAAAACTGTTCCTACCCTCATTGACAGAGATGGAATAAAGATGTCCTAAATAACATTGAAACGTTAATTTGTTTTCAGAGTGTTGGTACAAGAGGCCCTAAGGAAGTAAATCAATGATATGAATATATATATAATTATGGTTTCTTTTCTTTCCAGGATGCAGCATCAGAAGCAAACATCATTTGCAACGTCCCCAAGGAGATAACAGTGACTGAAAAATGACTATAAATCTAAGTGAAAATGAACAAATCTTTCAAATGTGACGTTTGACGGTGCCAATACAATGTTTTTCTGTAAAGAACTGAAACTACTCTATGCCATGGTTGTCCTGTTGCTCGAAGCGGAATTGTTAGTGAACACGGGTGCAATGGAGTCGAAGAGGTCTTCCATATTGGTGGCGCAGAACGCCGACGATATGAAATCGTTGGATCTGTGCACTTCTAGGAACCAGCAGAGGCTTGGCAATGTCTTCGGGAACTTCACGAGGCATCATAAGAAAGGTAAAATATACCTACAAATATTACATATATACATCAATCACCCTTCCAAAAATTTAGTTTAAAGCCACAGTGCAAAGTTACTAGCTCATATTAAGAGCAGATGTGAAGAGATGACAGATTTGTTGAAACGATGTATTGGTACGTTAGCAGGCAGCGCGCTTATGCAGTTTTTTTTTATAGCCAGGTAGGCAAATGACTTTACTCCACTTGATTTTAGTAGGTGGTAAAGTCGCAAGTGGTTAGCGCGTTCGGCTGCGATCGTTGAAGTTAAGCAACTTTCATAGTGGTCGGTCATTGGATGGGTTGATTCACTATCTCGAGCTCCTCCGTGGTCACCAATCCGCACTGGGCCCGCGTGGTGGGTCATGGCCCAAACTCCCTATTCCATCCATAGGGAAGGCCTGTGCCCCAGCAGTGGGGATATTATAAGGCTGATGAAGATGATGATGAAAGTTTAGACTCGAAGATAGCTGGTGCAGCAGTTATACCTGCCACACCAACCATCTTTACCTTGCCGGCCTGTAAAAATTATTTCGTTACGCCTCTTAAAGGACACTAGACTGTAGAAAGGAGGGTAAGGGAACTCGGACAAAGAATTCCACTTGCGAATAATACAACAAAGAAATAAATCACCATTTTTTTTGTTCATGTTGGAATATTGCGTATTGCTGCAAGCCAGGTACAGGCACAAACGGGTGCTCATATGCGCTCTCTAGTGATGGTGCTTTCTGGAGCCAAGCTAGATTAGTATCTACCTTGGCTCCAGAAAGCACCATCACTTAAGGCAACCAATCAACATATAGCTATTCTGCGATGTGATGGACTGTGCTCTATTTATTTAAGTAGATCCTGTTAGATTGTGTGGCATCTCCTGTAGGGCGCCACGTTACTACCCACACTCCAGGCACGCATTAGGGGGACCTCGGTTCTCATAGTGCGTGATCGGTGCAGGAGTATTATCTGATTTTCACTGGGTAGGGCGCTGCTCATTTCAGCGAGCCTCTAAGCTGGGTGAAATGGGCGGTGAGGAGTTCGGATACCATGTTCGCGTTACTCCCGGTGGTTCTTGTGTGTTTTGTATACAATATAGTCTAAATCTAAAGAAAATATAACTAGAAAAAAATCCACGTGGACCAGGCGGCGGACGGGAATCGAACCAGCATCCTTCGCTATTCGGGCCAATGCACTGACTAATTATGCTACCTGACGTCCGCGTTGAAATTCTTCTAGCTATTCTTAAGCTGCCAGGCAGTGCCATCTCTTCGCATTGTAGGTAACCCATAATGTCGAATGAATACTTTTACAAGTATTATACATTTGAAAGAAGAAATGGCCAATTAAAATTATAATTTTTATTTTTTAAGCATGTAACTGCTTGATGTTTAAATCTAAAGAAAATATAATAAGAAAAAAACCCTCGCGTACCAGGCAGCAGACGGGATTCGAACCCGCATCCTTAGCTACCCGGGCGAATGCACTGACCAATTATGCTACCGCGGCCCTGACGGCCGTGTCGAAATTCTTCTTGCCATTCTTAAGCTGCAAGGACATTGTCGGTTACCTACAATGCGAAGAGATGGCGCTGCCTTGCAGCTTAAGAATGGCAAGAAGAATTTCGACGCGGCCGTCAAGGCCGCGGTAGCATAATTGGTCCCGTCCGCTGCCCGATCCGAGTGGATATTTTTTCTTGTTATATTTTCTTTAGATTTAAACATCAAGCAGTAACATGCTTAAAAAATGAAAATTATAACTACAATATAGTCGCTGAAAGGATGCACTTATGTTAACTTTCGGTTTAGTACAAACTTTATTATGTCATCATATCGCCACCACTAACTTATTCTTCAGCGCCTGCACTTTAACATGAGTGTCTACTACTTGTCTCTAAAAGTGGCTTTAGGATACTCGTATATAACACTTTTAAATTTTTAACCATAGGACCTGAAATGTTCAGAAATTTCAATAGTAAATAAAAATAAACCTGCCCCGTGAATTGATATTCGCAGAAAAATAAAGAATGCGTGTGTGCAAACATGTTAATTTCGAGTACGTTACTAATATGGCATAGAATCGTTAGCTTTCTTGGAGTGTTTGCTGTCCCCTTTGCAAGCAATTGGCTAATGCGTTAGGTGACGTGGTAAATACTACACTAATGGATTCAAATTTATACCCACTTTGATTGCGCTTCATTTTATCAAAGCTTACAAATAACATGGATTGGATTTAGAAACAAGTCGCCTGAATTTGAGGCTACTAGATGTGTAAGGCAAAGGTTAAAGTAACTTTGGTTGCCGGAGTTGCGTATAAATATTTTAAAACCATTTTAAAAATTTCGTAAATGAGTGGAATGGAACGTAATTTTTATATTAGTTATGTATAATTGTTGTCTTTAAAGCAAAATATTAAACAAACGCGTGAAACGAAACGCAAACCGCCATTTTAAATGTAGATTTTGACAGATACGTTGTGCGTCATTAATTCCGTTGCTTTCAAGTTTTCTTGAATGTGCACCCGTGTTATAATTTGTGATAATTTAACGATTTGGCTACGTTTTTCAGTGTGTGACATTCGCTGAAGAAAACGGATTGGTGTTAACTCAAAAAATATGCAGAACACATCGCGGCTAAACTATACTTCCAGGGCCCAAGTGGTGATACTTCTCACTAGGTTAGGTTAGGTTATTGTTGTGACCATACCGCGCCAGCCGAGTGAGCGAAGCGAGAGTGCCGCAGCAGCGGCCGGTGTAGCGCCAGATTTTTTTTTAAAAGAGACCATTTTTATGAAAGTTAATAAGTATTTCCGGCAACCGGAAATAGTGGGGGGTGGGAGATTCAATTCCCTCCCCTCACCCCTCCCCCACCCCTTACCCCTCCCCCCTGCCTGGCAAACCCCGAAACGGGCGACTTATTTCTAAATTTTTACCAATTACATGGTAATACGACCTGAAAGATACTTTCGATTCTACAATAATAAGGAACCCAGTGGATCCTTGGAAACACTACTCACAGACAGAAACAAAACACTAAAGGATAATAGTTATTTAGGTTTAAAAGGTATCATGGTTTTCATGATGAAGATGGAGTGATCAGACTATGCAACGCGTACGAATGATATTTTTATATCGCAGACATCAATAGGTTATGGTAGACCGTTAGGCTTACCTTGAGCTTGTTTGCATTATTTATTACAAAAACTCTCCACAATTAATGAAAAAATTGTTTATTTCTACTTATTTGAATATCTCAGTAGTCTTAAAATAACCTAATTAAACCGTAAGTAAAGGAATATTGAAAAGAAAAGCTAGCATTAAATAGGAATAGAATATTATAAAAGTATTTAAAGCAACCCACCAATCATTTTCAAATAAGCCTTCGAGGTTTTGAATTCATTATTAATTGCTGAGCCGCTGCTAGTCAGTGCCTGTACCGTAAATTTATATCCCTTTTGTACTATGGAAGCGGGAATTAAACTACCAAATATTTTCCCGCTACCTAAAATTTATGGCTTCAGATTATTTGAATGATTAACTACACCAACATGCTGTGAATTGTCCGAATAATATGAAGCATAATTGTAGGTGAACAATGTAGTGTATCTTAATATTAACGGGTAGCACATCTAAAATTACCTACCTATTGAAATAATTTTCACATACCTTTTTCCTTATTTTATAAATTCAATCAAAATCGACGATCGTCCATAACTTACTTTATAAAGTTACTCCGTTCAATTTTTATTACGTTCCTTTACGTTCGTCGTTTTGATGTTGTAAATGGAGTTTTCTTACTTGAGGAGAGACTTTCTTTGTATAAAAATTGCGGGTCAACGAACCAATTTTGTACTGTAAGAATTTTACTACCGCCTTTTTTGTTTAAAACTTTATGCCCATATTTCTCAATAATGTAAGCAACGTTATTTAATTTAATTCTTTTTTATAGGTCACAGAAGAAGAACCACCACATCAACAACCCAAACGACGCTTCTCTACACAACAGTCGAAAATGACGATGACTCAACAGAAGCCATCCAGACAACTACAGATTATGTCATCAGCACATATGGATACCCAAAATTACCAAAACCTCTTCGCCTATCAGCATCACTTTTAGATAATGACTATAGTGAAGATGTACATAGGTTAGATAATATCATTGATGATGTTCATGAATTAGTAGGTAGAGAAAAATATCACACTAGACATAGACCAGACAGAGAACTAGTGAAAGATATAGACGAGAACTCAATGTCTATGAATAGATTTAAGAGAATGTATAGAGATTCAGCAAGTTCTGTTGCTAATAAATTAAGTGGTAAAGGAGGCAAGAGTGGTATATTTTTGACTGAAAATTGTACAACAGTTATAGCTCAAATAGGAACTACAGCTATTCTACATTGTGAAGTTAGTGATATCACAGAAAACACGGTACGTATATTTTTTTATGCCAAAGCAAAGTAAAATTATTATGATGCACGCTTTTATCTACTGTTAAGATAAAAATAATATGCTGATACAAATAATTGTAGAATTTAAATTGTTAAAATGGATTTGTTCAACATACATTTCTGATCAACACATCAAAAAACTCGTGTAAAAATCGATTGGATAATATAATACAGACAAGTTCAAAGCCTCCGAGCCATTGCAAAACTTTTGGGCAAATGTTCAAAATTTTAGTTCCATACGATAATTACGAAAATTTGTGCCATAAAATCGGCCCATCTGGACGGGAAAAGTTTCCTACTCAATATTGCTTTTTGTATTCCGAAGATATTCGTGAAATATGATCTTTGGAGGTTAGCGGTTTATTTATATTTCAAAATCCGAAATATTGGAATGAAGATTCTTTGAACTCCGCTAATCGAGTTACAAAAAAGTTTTTAAGGCCACTTTTAGCCATAACCGTAGGAATGTAAAAAGAAAGCTGCTCACTCGACGCACAAATACTAAAAATAATTAGGACGATATTTCGTCGCCGAATCAATTTTGTTATCAGTCAGTAAGCAGTAACCTTTATACAGGCTCTGCTTAGATTGAAATTTGAATTTGAATTTGTGGATTGTTCATCATGTTCAATAATTCTACCAAGTAAAGAAACAATAAAGACAGTATTTAAAGTCTACGATTTGTCCACGGTCTCGAGAATTATAAAATATCCTTCAGAACCTTTGAAGGAAATAACATTCCAGAAAATCTATCCTTGGAATGATAGCGAGATGCCGGAGACTGTAAATTTAGAAATGCCATAATTATCTACTCATGACACAGACGTTAAATAATTCAAGAGTTTTAAGTCTAAAGGGTCTAAATGGCAATTTAATACTGGCACTTGGACCGTATTTTACTTTGTATTTTTATTTTTACTTACAATTCTTCAATTTTACTAGGTGACGTGGATAAGGAAGAAAGACTACTCATTGCTATCAGTCGGCCTTGTAACATACAGTGCTGATAGCAGATTCTTCTCTGCCCACGGTCGACATGTTAAGGTAAATGTTTTTTTTTATTTGCTAATGCAGTTAATTTCAAATCAAATCATCTTTATTGCAGCAAAGGTTGCAAAGTTGTTACACAGATACATTTTAGTACAGTACAGCCTGCCTTATCGGCATGCAATATAATATTTCTATAAAACATTAAGTCACATTAATAAATTTAACATAGTTTATTCAAAATATCACTAAGCGATAAATATAAAATTGGAATTATTTCATGCATGTCATTTTCTATACTTAGTCTAAAAACTTTTGTCTTCCAAAAATTCCCGAACCGTATAGTAACATTTTTCTAATAAAAAATGTTGTAATTTGTTTTTAAATTATTGGTCACGGTAATTTCTCGCACACTTTCAGGTAATTTACTATAAATATCGTCATATTGGAACACTTTGTGTAGTCCCCTGTAATACGGCACTATTTAGGAAAAGTGTGTTTTGCAATACTCCTTTATTGCAAAACACACTTTTCCAATATGACGTTCACGAGTTCTGGCCTTAAATATTTTAATATTACTTTTTACAAAGATAGGCACTAAAATTTAGGGACATGACATGAAAATAAATAGACAGACCATTTATTTTTGGAAGGTACAGTCACGTGCTGTAACTCTGGGGCTCTTTACCTCGAAATGTGGCTGGAACATTCGCATTGCAGTAAGGTTTAAAATCTCCAGATCATAGTAGAGTTGAAACGTCATAAATACAATTCTTTTAACTCCTTGCTAAGGTATGTATAGGTATGTAGTATAATTGCGTTTTAAATTTTTTGTTATTAACACTATGTCAGTCGCAAAGGAAATTTTATTGAGAATCCAAGAGATGTTATCAAAACACATGTTTTATTAAAATCATTATTAAATTTATCAGAAATAAATTAAAAAATATACCAAATAAATATTGTCATAAGTTACGGTGAAGGGAAACAGTAAGTCTTTCTATTTGCCCAAAATCGGAAATGTCTCTTTGCTCCTCGAGTTTGAACGGTTGGCGCGTAAACTGAGCAGTTTTAGACAGTGCAAACTACGTTATCATAGCAACGGGTTTAATGAAAATATTAGCTCTTAGGATGTTTTTTTGCTGTCCGATATTCAACCTTCGGCGGGTTCCCAATCCAAGAGCGTGACTGTACGTGACTATATATGTATATTTATTAGAAAGGATCTCGATGGCGGCGTCGTGAGAGCGCGTTCGGTTCGTCTGTGACCATGGAAGTAAAACAATTTTCGTTATGACCGATCAAAGGATGGGTGACCAAAATTTTATTAACTAGAGCTTCCTCGTGATTCAAAAGGCATGCTATTTATCATTGGTCCTGGCTGGTCCACCGATATTCATTGAACCCTTTTTAGTTCCATAGCGAGTACCTTTACTCCCGTACTGAGGACATAAATACGGTAATAAACATAATGATGATGATATAACTTTTTGAACACATTACATTGTATACATTGTTCGAAAGTTAAAAATTACGGGCCATACAACGGTTGGGACCATGCGGTAAAAACTTTTACCGCACGCTTCCATAAATGACGCCGTGCGTATCCTTTACGGTATTTTTTTTTATTACAATCGAACCTCTTTGGAAATACTTCTAATCTATACCTTTGTTTCACTTAAATACTAAAAAGAAAAATAGACGAAAGATGCATATAGTTCTAATTTTCACCACGCACGTGGCGCCATTTGGAAAAGCGCGCCATTTTCTATTAAGAAAAGTTTCCTGTATTACTTAAATTAGATACAGGTACTGCTTTCTCGGTCCTCGATGACGTAAGTGGTTAGCGCGTTCGGCTGCGATCGTTGAAGTTATGCAACTTTGGCAGTGGTCGGTCATCGGATGGGTGACCAAAAATTTACTATCGCGAGCTCCTCCGTGCTTCGTAAGGCACGTTAAGCTTTTAGTCCCGGCTGCATCTGCAGTCGTTAGCACCCACCAATCTCCCTATTCCATCCATAGGGAAGGCCTGTGCCCCAGCAGTGGGGTCGTTAATAGGCTGATGATGAACTGTTTTCTCGCAAATGTGTTAAAAAACTTTGTATGACATTCGTGCGCACTGGTATTTACAAACACGTGACTATAGTAAGCTCTCGATTTCGTCTTGGGCTTACATTCGTCTACTTGTTTCTGTAATGACCTAATTACTGCACCTATATCATAAATAACTATTACGTACGGCTGATTTCATAAAAAAGTACGCTACTGCAAATTTCTACAAAGAAATTTGGTGACTCATTTTCTTGTCGCACTATCCGTAAATGGAATGCTCTGCCCGCTCACGTGTTCCCTCCCTCTTACAACATGGGATCCTTTAAAAGAGGCGTGAAGAAGCAACATGTAGGCCGGCAGGGTGAGGATGGCTGGTGTGGCAGGTAGAACTGCTGTATCAGCTATCTTCACGTCTGGACTTTACCTTCACTTAATATCAGGTGGGGTGGAGTCATTTGTCGGACCTATCTATAAAAAAAAATAAAAAAAAATAGCCCTTCTTTACTAAAACCAAAAATATGTGGAGGATCTCCTGTAGGTTATATAACTTTAGCCGCTCTATTCAGCGAGCAGAATTTGTCGGTCCACTTAATGGTTACCACACAGGCGCGATTTCGGTCGTTAGATAAGATCTTTACTGTGACATTCTAAAGAGTTGGATACAATAGGAGCAAAACAAACATTGGACGTACCTACGAATACAAAATTTGCTGTATTTTGAATCTCATCGTCTCATACTCTACAATATGATATCAGCACTTTGTTTGGCTACTTCCGCCTGCCGGAAGTAAAAATAAACTAGCTCTTGCAATAGAAACTTTGGCGATGTCTACAAGAATACCTTTTATTTATTTTTTTATTATCTCTTAAAGTCTACATACTCTTGGTATTTTCCAGTTTTATATAATGTGTCTTTCCACGTTCACTGACTCCAAAACAACAAACCTATTTTCGTGCATTAACCCGTAAAAACTAGTTTTATTTAATGAGTGATGTGCGTGAAAACCTAAGAAACAAATAAACCTATTTCTTTTAAAAAGAAGGATAAAACTCTTCTACTAATTATGCTCCAAAATTGTTATATACAGGATGTTACAAAAATACAAATAAAGCTTGAAGGGCGTTGAAGTACATCATATAAGGAGTCTTCTCTAATTTTCTTAAAATATTTGCATGAAGTTTTAACTTTTTATAAACACAGTAATTTTTAATGATCCTCGAACTAGTGACGTGTCTTAAAATGATCGATATTTTTATTAGTCATTAAAAATAACTGTATTTATTAAAAGTTAAAACTTCATGCAAATATTTTAAGAAAATTAGAGAAGACTCCTTATATGATGTACTTCAACGCCCTTCAAGCTTTATTTGTATTTCTGTAACACCACGGTATAACACCTGTATATACCGTCGTTAACTTACCTTCTATTATTTATACAAACATTATGTTTGTAAGAAAAAATCAACATCTATTTATAAAAAAATGTCAAGCTCATGACATGATTACTAGGAATAAAAATAAATAATCAGTCCCCAAATTTAGACTCTGTAAAAGCAGCAAATCTTTTTTAGACCTTTCATAACAAAATACCTGATGATGACGCTGCCCTGACAGACACTAAATTTTAAAAATTATATTAAAAAAGTACTAATTAGTAAGGCCTATTACAAAGTTGAGGATTATATAACAGACAAATATACGTGGAATTAGATTAATTCTGCGCTAGATATTCACTGGTTGTTACGTTAATTAATATAGGTTCTACATAAATATTGTTAAAAATTATCATTTTAAAATTATATTTTTGTTGTGACATCAATAAGTGCCTGTAAATGCTTATGTTGAAAAAATAATTTCTGATTCTGATTGTAGGGTTTAAACCTTCGAATGTATTCGTATCCACTACTGCCTGGTGTAGAGAATTGTGGTCAGCCCGTAAGTTGAGAATTGCTGGTTCACTGACTTTTCTATGACAAAGACTTTCTTCGTCTTTGCGGTTAGACTAGTGGAGTAATTGGTTGCGTCTTGTTTAAAAATCTAAATAAAACAACATGCGTGGGCCCTTCACTTCACACTAGCGAGAGTAGTGTTTTGCTTTGGTTAATTTTTTGAGTTTGTAGGGCTCAAAAGGCTCTGTGATTCCTAGAATGAATTGAAGTATACTACATGCGGTAGTTAAAAAGCATTGTGAAACAAACTTCGTTTTGCTCTTGGTGTACCTAGCGGTTAATGCAAGTGCTACCAGCCAGTAACCGCATCAGAAGTGGGTCGAACTTATTTTGATCACGCTCTTCTCCCATATATATACAAATAGACGTCTCTGGATTTTGTTTTACAAACAAACTTAATGTTTTATTCATCTGAGCGTCTTCGGAGACTTGAAGTACCATTTCACTCGGTTGAAAATTATATTTTTGTTCATGTTTTGCTCCGTACGCTTCGCATATCAATGTGGTTATCTATTGCTTGTCGCTGCTTTGTTTTTTTATGAAGTATTTTGTTTCATTTGCGTTTAAACGATAGCTTGCTTGTTTACTAAGAAAAAGCATTTTGCCTATTATATCCAAAATTCTAGAATAAAACATTGTGTTTTTCACACCGAATTGTAACTCAAATCCACAGAAATCTATACAATTTTACTAGATAGCAGGCAGTCGAGTGGTTTGTACGCCGGGTTTCATGGTGTCGCCGACTCGAGAGGTCCCGGGTTCAAATCCCAGTGGGTCAGATGTTTGTGTGATGAATACGAGAATTTGTACTCCAGTCATGGATGTTTAATATGTATATCTATAAAAATATACTTATATATGTACAGTATATGTATTCTATCCGTTACCCTAGTATCCCATAACACAAGCCTTATAGTGCTTAGTTTGGGGCTAGGCTAATTGGTGTGAGTGTTGGAAATATTTATTATTAATATTATTATTAGTGTGAAACCTTTTTAAAAATATGCGCATCAGTTTGCCCTGGATGTTTGTATCAGTTTTGACACTCGATCGCT